AGAAAGACAACAACAGAAAAAACGAAAGGGAACAAAAGAAAAGAAAACAGACCATCACATACTGCCGAAGGAATGCATAAGGAGGAAAAATAGGGGTGACGCACAAGATGCACACAATGTGCAAAAGCCCGTCGCAGCTTCACTACGTGCATGCCATATCCACTAAGCTACGAGCACGAGAGAGAGAGAGAGAGAAGGGGGGGGGGGAGGATACCCCTTAGTGCCCTTCCTACATGTTGAGGTTGCCGGATCCACAAAAGGAGGAAAAATAGGGGTGACGTACAAGGTGCACACAATGTGCAAAAGTCCGTCGCAGCTTCACTACGTGCAAGCCATATCCACTAAGCTACGAGCACGAGAGAGAGAGAGAGAGAGAAAGGGGGGGGGGGGGGGGGAGGATACCCCTTAGTGCCCTTCCTACATGTTGAGGTTGCCGGATCCACACCCCCAACCTGACCCAACTATTTGCTGTATCAGGCTTCTGTTGAATCCAAGCGAAGTAAGCACAGTTGTTCTGTTTTTCTTGACTGCTCTGAAGCTGGTGAGCTTTGAAGCCGCGACCTGCGTGTACAGTCTCTGTTTGCGCAGAGAGGTGGTAGGACATTTTTGGCTGATAGTTTTAGGCTTCTGTTTTCCAAAACTGACGGGTTGGGGCAAAACCCTCATTCAGAATTCATTCATCATATTTTTTGCTGCTTGATGAGACTGGAGAGGAGCTTCTTTCAGCACTGCTTGAGGAGAGAGCGAGTGCAGCCATAGCTAGTGCGAACAGGACGGTTTCTTGAGCCAGTTGTTGCATGCCGCTCCGAGTGATTATTCACTTCCAATTTTCTGTGGAGTTGCCATTAAGTGTGATCACATCTCAATCCAGCGTGTAAGTGAGATGATGGGGGAGAAGTACTTGAGATTCTGGAAATTTGTAACATACACCTCCTCTCCCAGCTTGTCCTCCTTCCCCTCCTCTCCCAGCTTGTCCTCCTTCCCCTCCTCCCTTTCCTTTTGAAAGTTCTCTTATGACACTTTGGAGGACGCCGTGTGATTTTTCTTCCCCAAACCTTCTTTGTTTAGGGGTAGAGAGAGACGCAGAGACAACCGTTAGTGCCCCTTGCAAGCTCCTCTAACATCCCATCCTCCTTGTCCAACTTCTCTCCTTCCTTTTGAAAGTTTTCTTCTTCCTCTTTGGCACGCACCACGTGGCACATCCTATTTTTCCTTTTTGTATAGGGTTTCTTTGGTGAGGGTAGCCTCCTCCCTTCGTTCTCCTTTCCAAACTCCTCCCCTTCTGAAAGTCATCGTCTTGTTTTTTCCTCTTCTGCAGGAATGATTTCCTTTCATTATGCAAGGTTTCTTCAGTATGGAGAGGGAGAGAAAGGAACAGAGGGAGAGAGGGGGCGAGGGAGACAGAGTGTGTGTGTGTGAATGCTGATTTGCGTTTGTGTGCGTGTGTTGATTTAAAAGACCCCAGATTCTCTCTCATTCCCTTCACAAATCATCACAAGCCATCCCATAACGAAAAAGTATAGATAAGCAATATAATAGAAAATGCAAGGT